AATTTCTAATGATAAATACCGTCACACATGCGCTGTATCTCCAGTAGAGGTATAAAAATTTTAATAACTTTCAAAAATAAATGTCTAAAAGTTGTTATTGACCAGTATTTTCTTACTTGAATAATTTTTTATTTTATAAACTAGTTAAATATGTATGCTGCATAAAAAAGTGAAGTTGACACTCTTAGGGGCGAATTAAAATAGTAATTAATAACTGAAAATCAAGAATATGTGGAACTAACAAATACCAAAAATAATTTTTTAAACATATTTAATTATTAATTTAAGAGAATTCGAGTGGGTATCATTTAAAGAATCAGTTTGTATACTACTAAGATATGAAACTAAACAATTATTTATTTAATAAGACTTAAATAACGCAATAAACACACTAACAATTTCGGGAAAATACTAATTCCATTGGGATAATAAATAGTTTGTGCTCAATATTTCAATATTTCAATGTAATGATTGTCAAATAAGACCATAAAGATAATAGACAACTTTCAGTTATCGTTGAATTTACGGTTGTCTTTAGTTTTTTCAAGTAATATATAGGGAGGCANCACTTTCAGTAATCGTTGAATTTACGGTTGTCTTTAGTTTTTTCAAGTAATATATAGGGAGGCACAGTGTTGTAAAATGATTCAAAATTTATCGCTAAACAATAGATTACGACTTGCACGTGAACAAATTGCAGAATAAATATATCAATGTAATATGTTTTATTCGTTTGTTTACACAAATGCATGATCGGCAACGATAGAATATCGTTTGTTAAGATTAAATCAAGTGTCGTGTTCCAATTATGCAGTTTATTTTTAAATAAAAAATGGATGATTGTTAAAATAGTTATGAAAGTGACATGTAGAATTAGACTTAAGCTGATAATTCCTACCCATCACTTAAACGGCTTATAATAAAGCCAAGGACTGAGACTAATAATATTAATATTGCTAAACATTGTAAATTGTATTGTTTTTTAAATGATTAAATGCGACAAACAAACGATGCTTTAGCGTTTCGTCGTGACCGAGCCAAAAACTCTCGTTGAAAAGTCATTGTCGTTTATAAATAAATTAGCGACTGCCGATTGCCGTTTTATTTTTGTTTCTTAATGATTGAAATATAACGAGTCTTGAATTCGGTTCCTAGTTAAACCGACTCAAGGGAGTGGCTTAAAGAATCTTTACTTACATTTAACGACACGTTTTTTTATGGCTAAACACCACTTGTCGTTACCTACATTAATTAGGCTTATGGAACGTATGTGATCCAATAAAAATGCTATTAGTAGAGTAGCTCGTACAATTGTTGTATGGCGCGTGCTACTAATTGCAACTTAATAATTTGAGTTGTAACTAATATAATTGATATCAATCTTTGTACACTTTGATTAACGGAAGAAGTGATATTTTAGGGAATCAATAATTTTTAATTATATAATTAATTAAAAAAATATATATACAAGGGCATTTATGAGGGGAGGCTGGGAGATATGCACCTTGAAAATAAATATTGTAGTAAAAATTATGTATATTTTCTTGTTTCTCAAGTATCTTTTTTCGTTAAATTTATCCTAAAATATGATTAAATTAAAGTGATAAGCAAAGAAAAAATCTTTGCTCTCCTGACAATTAACTTATATATTAACTTGTGTTTATACCAATAGTGTTTAGACTTTGGTTATAAATAATGACTTTATACTAAAATATAATGCAAAATTTTATCTCACTCTTAAAATATTATAATTAGTGATATGATTATTATTATTGACAAATTATTTGAAGTACCGTTGAGACAACAGTACTTCATGAGATATCATGGAGACCATAATATCTCATATAATTCGACTTTTTAAAAAATATTTAGGAGCCAGAAAGGAATATTTAATTTTTCTATAGTAACAATGGAATAAGATTTTGAACAACTTTATCGTCAAAATAAAATAAAAGATTTATTTTCCAAAGTCAACAGTATAAAAATATAAGAGGATATAGTGATAAAGTGGTGTAAGTCAATTTTTGTATTAAATAAATTTGACTAGAAAAAAAAAAAATACAATAAATTAATTCATTATTGTTTATAATTGTGTAAGTTAGCTACGATGCCTTTTAATTATTACAATATTTTTTAACGAAAAGTTTTGACCGTATAATGTTTATATATAAAAAACTATTACGTATCTTAACAAAAATCAAAACAATTGTGATTTTATACCACATACTCGAGTTTTTAGTATAGACCATTTTTTAAAACAATTTACCATTTTTAAGCTTATCTTATTTTTATTCGTCGCCAAAATGGAATTATGCCAACATTCTCAATGACAAAATTAATATGCCCAAATTACCCAAAATGGTAAAATTGAACTTTTCATATAGTAGAAATAATAATTATACAGAGTCTCAGAATTTAACAGAACAATACGTTTTCACAAATACATTTTTTGGAATAAAAGTTCACCTGTGATATTTTTATTATTTATTAGTATGAGATAAGTTTAATAATAAAAGTAATATTATTTAAAGTTTAAATTCAAATCCGTATTTTTAATAATAAATTTTAATATTTATTTTAGAACTTATATCAACAGTGTCATTAATTTATATTTTTAAATATAAAAAAACATAAAAGGCTCTTTACCAATTGGATTGAAATGTAAGGAACTAAACGGTTAACTTTTTCTTTTATATATACATGTTTATGTTCATACAACCATTGATTGAAATGGATCTCATATTATAATAAAAGAGGATAATAATACTATTGATTATTATTTTTATAATTTTTTAACACATAAATATTTTTGCTAATGGCAAAAATAAATCAATATCATGGAAATTTAGAAATATATATAAAAAATAGATTTAAGGTACCTATGGCAGCCTAATCTCCGTATTTGTCCATTTACACCAGTTTAATCGAACTGTTTTTCTTGGTAGACTGTTAAAAATTAACGACAGAAAGTTAGTTGAAGTTAATGATTAAAGTTAATATAAGATTGAGTAAATTATAGAATTAGACTTTCAAAAGGTAACCCTTCTATTACATAAAACATTTATTTTAGAAATATGTTAGCGTATTATTTTTTTGAAAAAGAATTTTCTTTTAAAAAGACATTTATAAAAATGATTTATTTTTAAAGTTAACATCTTTAGTATACTTTTATATACTCTCATGAATAAATCTGCTTGCTATTTTTAATGCACGGTGAGGGAATGCGTGTATAAAAATAAACTCACGACTTACATAGTACATAGCACAATGACTATAGTTGAAAACAACGACATTTTATTTACGCAATTAAAACAAAATAATATAAAAGAACCATTTTTATAAATCATATCTATATGATTTTATCATTTTACATGTCTATTTCTAAAAAATAGAAGAGCTTAAAAGAAAGCAACACGGGATAGAATAAAAAAAAACATATTTTTCACTATTATTTATCAAGTGCATAATTAAAGGAATGATGAAAGGGACTGATTCCCAAGGGCATATTTACATAGTAAATATACAACTTTTTCGTTTTTCGTGAACATTTTTCTAATGTATATCTTCTCCAGATAAAACATTAATTATGCCATTAGTATATATTTATATAGAGTGTTCAGTATCTAAGGAACGGGTTTCTAATGTTCTCATTGCTTATAACAACTGACCTGTTTCCTGACTTACTGAACACCTTGTATGTTAACATAAGAACGAAATTTCAATTTACACACTCACGTTCGTAAAGTAAGTTATGTCCATAGAAGAAGAGTAGTGCTAGGTCAAAAAAATTGTGCATTGTCCTTGTTAAATCTGTTTAAATTAATAAATGACGATACATAATTTTTATTTTAACAATTTTGTTTTGATGAAACGTTTGACGTGAATGGAATATTTTATTGTAATTTTTTGAATAAATTAAAGTAAAATTTAGTTTAAAATCTACACTAATAATTCAATTATTATATTTTAGTTAGTATTCAAATAAAAGGGAAGTAATAAAAATTCGTGTAAAGATAATTAAGTAACATATCAATTAAGAAAATATCGTGGATGTCAACGGCCAACCATAATGAATATCGTTTGAGGGGTATTTGTAGGATAGTTTGCACATTATAAGTCATAAATCAGGTTAGGAATCTTTTATCTATACTCTTCATAGCGAAATAAAATATTAAATTGTTTCGGGATGTGATATATTATTGACTTTTTTTTAGATATCGTACTTTTTTCAAAAAAAAAAAAAAAAAAAAAAATTCACTTTATCCCTATATACTATTTCATATAACTGGATAATCGACTTGCTTCTCTGTCATACTACTTGTCTTCTCCTCTCCTAGAAAAACACAGATTTTGGCGATCCAATTAAACCGTCACCTAAGTTAATAATTTGTATAAAATTGTATTTATTGAAATTTATTTGTTGTTGAAAACATTGTTATCGCATTTATGAAATAATCTTGACAATGTTATGCATGTGCCTGCAAATGCTTTATTTTAATAAATTTTAACGTACAAGGAAATTTAATTTATTTTTAGAAATATTAATAAATGATACGTAGTTTGAATACACTGACATATCTAACATTAATTAACGATTTTTCTAATGAACATATTTTCCTACGTAATCGCATATTGTTACCTGTTATATTATATAATTGAAATCGAAGGCAGACAAATATGCGAGTGTATCGTTTCTATGAGTAACAACAGCAATAGTATTATGTAGACAAATTTAAAGACCTGAGTGAGAGTATGGTGTTCATGAAGTACACGAAGATTATTATAACGGCACGTTATGAGAGACTTTAATGTACCGCTCGCATCCATCCGGGAAGTCCAAGGACAAACGTAGAAACCCCTACAGGTGAATTCCCCTCTTACTTTCAACTGACCGGTCTCCTACTACTAACGGAGAAAGAACAATCTACCTGAACGATGACACGAATACGTTGTAGTGAGTAAACTATTACATCTGGTTTTTCAACTTTCCTTTTTAACGACTTGGTAAGTCTGAGTCTATTGCCATCGTCCGCTAGTCTTTAGTTACACTTAGTTTGTCTTACTTTAATTTTACTTTTGCTCTCATTGTGTTCGTAATTTGTTGTTCGTTCAAATTTGTAAACCGTTTCCGTCATCGTTTTTAAGGCTTGTGGTATTGGATTTTTCAAGTCCATCATCGTAAAACGGTATAGGTACGTTATAGTTTTAAAACACAGAATTTATAGATAAAGTACAAAAAATTAAGTGAAATTTAACATATTAGTTGTTATGATATATATGTATTTATAAAAAAGCAAAAGCAATTAGTCTTTTAAATAGATTTTATAGTATTTTTTGATTAGACAACGAGTTTGATATTTATTGAGTGTGAACAAATATTTTTTTAAGGCTGACAATTCGCATATTATAAAATATTTGATGTAAACAGATTAATTTTGAAAAATCGTAAATATTTATAAATAAATAAATTATTTTAGAGGTTTGACTCACTAGTATATAAACTGGAAATTGTTGGATGATGCCATTTTTAAAAATACACTTCATGTTCAAATGATGAAAAGATAAATTAATTATAAATATGATGCCATAAAATAATAAATGTGATATGAATTTGATAGTCTTATCTATAGATCTTTATTTAATTATTTAAGTTAAAGAGAGGACATTATCAGGTTTACATGACTTTAAGGTAATTTGGGTCAATTAATAGATCATATTTTATACTACTATAGCTCAGGGAAAAATAATTTATAAAGGCTGAAAATATGAAAATTTTGAAATCGCCACTGACAATATTTAAAAATTAATAGGAACATGCTAAATTTTAAGTCATACTATTTGCGTTATAGCTCAAAGTAATAATGTTATAGAAGTACATACATGATTTATCTTATTAGAAAAGAATGATTACAATCATATTAAAACATTTAAAAATTCATATTTGAAACTTTAAACGTTGAATAGGAAATAAATTAAAAGTCTGAAAATAGTTAAACTGATACCATCACCGAACGGTTAAAAACAGCTTTTTAACTGCATAGTTTCCGGCTTTGTGAATCATAGAAAGTATAGACTAGACTGTCAAGTAATTTGGTGTAAAATGCTTATAATTATTTTCTTATCTTTTTAAAGGAAACGATTTGTTTAGAAATAAATATTATTTATTTAATGACACTGCGAGAATTTTATTTATATTAAATACTTGATATTTAAAATTTAATTTGTGACTTTTTTTGCTTAAAATTATTCTAATAGTATTTTGAGAAAAATTCAGGCGATTGCATGAAATTTTAGAGGGGTTACGCTCTTTTAGCTTTTCCTTCAAATACGCTTCTATAAAATAATGATTAGAAAAAACCTTAATACAATATACCAATATAAGTGGTGAAACAGATCTAACCGAAAACTTTTATATACTTTGATACGATTCAAATTTCACTGTAATTTTTTTAAAAGAATTTTTGTTTTCGTAGACATTAAAAGCATAATTTTTATTATTTATTTTCAATAATAATAAAAAAAAACAATAATTTTAATTTTTACTTAGTAATGTTATAAACCCTAATATTGAAAACAAACCTGAACCGAATTTTAATTTTAAAATTAAACTCAGTTCGGTTTTATTTGAAAATCGAATATTACGATATTATTATTTTTAATATTGTCAAAATTTTCTAATAAAAAAATTTGATGTTTCGATTACAGCATTAGAATAAGTACTTATTGAGCTTTTTAATACATTGAGTGGGTATGTAGCGCGAGTGGTTAAAGCTAATAATGGTGTATATTTATAACGCATTCTGTATTCATTTTACATACCCACTCAACATATTAAAAAGCTTGCAACTTAATAAGTATTTATTTTAAAGTCGTAATTAATTCATGAAATTTTTTTTAAAAACAGCTACTTATTTTAAAATGATGAAAACTTAAAGACGTTTTCTTTTATTGTTATTAAAAATATTTATTATTTTTGGCATATTTTTATTATTTAATATGCTTTTAATTGAGTATAAAAATACGAAAATTGTTTAAAAAAATTACAGTGAAATTATAATTATAACAAAAGTTATAAGAATTGTTAGTTAGTAAATCATATCGATCTGTATATTGCCTGACATATTATATAAATTGATGCTAACTTTTTTTTATTAACACTATATTCAATTTAATACTTTACAACATTAGTAATAATGATTAGTAAAACTTTATTATTTAAAAACAATTTTTCTATTAGAAAAGATTAAAGAACATAAAAAAAAAATCAAAAACTTGTTAATTAATAACCTGTTTCTGAGATCACAAATATACTTAAAAGTTTAAAAGAAACATAATTTCTTTATAATAGGACTTAAACAAATATTTATTTAGTTAAAAATTTTAAGTAATACTTATTGAGGTGTTGGAAAATATACTAAGTAAAATAAAATCAATTTCAGTTTTTTTGTGGAAGACAAAGTAAAACTTAAAAACTTAATTAAAATATTAAATAAAAGTTCTATAAAGAATAGGAATAACACAGAAAAAAAAGACGCTTTTCATTTTTCCACATGATTTAAACAATTTTTTTTTTGTTTCTTTTTAAAAATGTAGTTTTTGTGATCTAGTACTCTTTCTGTATCAATGCCTCAATTGTTACAAGTTAAATATCGTCGCTTATACTGCAGTAGATTGTATCTCATAATTTGACATATTAAGATTTATATCAATAATGATAAATGAAGTTTTTCTGAACAATTTTGTTGTACATATATTTTTTGACAGTCCTAGTTCTACTAATTAGTTATAAAAGTAACTCTTGTATTTGAACGTGTATAATTCAAATAAGGGCTTTTGATCATCCTGGAAACCTAAAAAGACTGATATACTCAATATTGCAGGATTAATGACAATATATATATATCAGATAGTCTTAATTTTCAGAAATAAATTATTTTATTCATAAACATAGAATGTTCAAATTTTCTGGTAGGTCAAAATTTAATTTTTCTTCTTTAAAAAATAATTTTTATATTACTATGTATAAAATTTTGATAAATAACTGAGGTGGCTAAATTATATAATATATTATTTTCAAACAATGTTGTATATTAAAAATGAACGGCTCATTTCCTACGGAGTAATCTATAAGACGACACTAATTTTCTTAGAAACTTTTAAACATTTTTCATTTTGCAGAGAACAAAATTTGGTTTAAAAAACTCTATAATATTATGTCGTCAAATAATGTTTTTTCATTCCTTCAGGAATTAGAATCTGAACTTTTTTAATGGAACTCATATTTTTGACTTGATAATATGATAAAAAAAATTACAAATAATTTTGTTATTATAATTTTTTTTTGACTGATCAATCGTTTTTCTGTTACAGCATGTTCAGATTAGATTTAATTTAATTTAGATAAATTTTCTAATGATATTTAATTATTAAGAATAACAGAAGTTTTCGTTTAAATATTTTGTCACATAAACTAATTTTCATTGACTAAGATATTATCCGACATACAGAAATCTTTTCTTTATTAACTTGTGACTATTAATAGCCTCACACTCTTATATTCTACGCAAGTTTGCTTTCATACATTGTCTGTCACCGATGTGTAAATTTTTTTAATAATAACTATCATAAAAAAATATAAAAATCATTATTACTTAAAATTGATCACCTATACACTTCTTACCTGTATAATTTGCGTTTAATTGTAAAATTTTTCATCTAATAGAACATTCAAAAATGTAACTGAAATTTCTTTCCAAAAACTTTCTCTAACTATTTTTGTAAATTCATGGTCGAGTGAGTAGATTACTAACAATTATTGACTACTAACAATTATAGAAAATGTTTCATATAAATTTAAAAAAAACCGCTAAAAATATGATTTAGAGAAAACATAATACTTTCAAACTAAACAATATATTATGGTTTAATATTTATATACAGAATGATTCTTTTAACGCTAGCCAAAAATTTAAGTGGGAGTTACAGTAATCATATGTTAATAAAAAAGAGTACTGTAGTTTGATTAATAAAATTACATAAAATTATAAAGATGAAATTTATGTATTCAGTTTTATTGTACATTAGCCTTAAATAATTCCCGTTATTTGAATCACGATAAATTAATATTAAGTAAATTAATCTTTTTAGGAGTCACGACGTTTCCTATTTTTTCCGAAAGTAACCAAATTGTCATTAATTTTTTTTTTTGCAATTAAAATTAAAAATTTTTAATTAAGGTTTATATTTTGTTTTAAGAAATATTAATTTGATTGTATATGTTTCGAGTATAGTAAAAAATTGTATTTATAATAATAAAGGTCATTAAGGGGTGCCATTAGTTGTTTAATCATATTTTTATAACATATACTAAAGAGGTAATTAATATGTATCTTAAAAAAAATTAATTTGCGTATTAATATTCATTCTAGCTAATAATTTTGATAATACAAATTAAATAAGTCTTCAACTTTCATTTTTTTATAGACTTGCGTATTTTAATTCGAACCCGTTTCATTCATTATTATTATTTCATTTCCACATAAAAATATTGTACTGTGACAGCTATATGTATAGAATAAGAATACTTCAAGTTAAGATTAATTGAACTGTTATATGTATCACAACATAATTGTAAAGTAATTATAATGAGTAAAAAACATAACAACTTCAATTAGATACAAATCTATGAGTTAAACGATCAATATAGTTTCAGGTAATTTTTTATTACCACGCACAAAATTATTATTGTCATCATATTTACTGAAGAGTTAGTTATTGTAATTTTTGCAGGATAGCGTATATATATTTTTTTTGAAATTTTTTATGTCTTTGAAGTATTTGTTAATGATTGCACCACTAAGTACATTTAAACAATGCGCTATACGTTATAAACTAAACTTGATTTTCTTATTTTGATTATCGTGACAGTGATTTTGATGGCCAAAAGTTATATTAATTATATTGTAACCATCCAACACATTAATTTCACAATCAAGGCCACATCTTGTATCCGAAATCATTGGTTTTTGTATTCGGGTTTTTAAAAACTTATTTTAAGCTAATATATTTGCTAAAAAAATTATTGGAAGGGAAGAGGAGAGAACATTGTTAAAATTATTATTACGCATTTGTTTGGTTTGGTATGGTCAGACCTAAAATCTCAACATTTTATGTAATCTCTCATGTTTTCGCAACATAATTAAAAAAAGCAACTTTGACCGTTAAATTTATTTAACATGTTAGGTTTATCTAACTTCTATTACTTGGTTTTAAAATAGCCAAATCCTTTTTATTTCTGTGATTACATAGATTAGATAGACATACAGGATTATTATTTTAACGTTAGCCACTCGTTTTCTCTTTAAATAAGAACTATCTTAAAAAAATTTATTTTGATATTTTTTAGTTTCATATATTTATTGATTTTTCAGTTATTAATTACAGTTTAGTATAATCCCTTATAACTTGAATAGTGAACAAGAGGTATCAAATTAATTTCTTTAAATTGCAACATACATATTTATCGAGCTTATAAAATAAAAAAATTATCTAATAACGAAAACGACTGGTGGATTAATAACTTTTACCTATTATTTTGGAAGTTATTAACATTTTAAAATACAAACTCGAGGTGATACACTATTATGACTACATTTATTATTAGATATTTCTCACATTTTCTTTTCAACAAATGGTTAAAAGGAAAACTTTTAAAAACTTTCGAAGTACTAGTTCAAAAATTGTAATCGACCAGTCTTTTTTAAATTAGTTTTTATTTTATTTTATAAGCTAGTAAAATATGTATATATAAAAAAGTAAAGTTGACATCCTTATAAGGAATTTATTAAAAAAGTAATTAATAAATGTAACTAAAATATATTAAAAAAAATTACTTTAACATAATTGTTATTTTAAGAAAAATCGAGTAGCTAGCGGTAAAAGAATCATCTTGTATAGGAAAAATAGGGTATATTTCAATTATAATTGTATAGTTATATAAAAATGATAAAAAGGGCTACGTTTCTCTAAGGGGTTATTCGCTGATTAAATCTACAAATGAAGTGAATAAAATTTTATTATTAATGTATAGCATAGATAAATAATATATTTTGTTAAAATATTATGTTTTACCATTAATAATATAAAAAAAAATATTCGGTAGGAGTAAAATTGAATAGTGAATTCAATAAATATTGTAATTTTATATAATTTGATTTAATTATATAATGCCAGATAATTAATATTTTTGTAGTAATCATAGTGATTTATATCAAATATTGTATCATGCGAATGTCAGCACTCGGAGATACCTAACGCAATTATTCTAAATTCTATATTCTTTATCTAAGGAGTTCATTAACACATTATGATATTTATATTTTATACTAGAGCGTATAAGAAGTATGATGAATAGTCTGTGATCTGGGCTTATAGTAATCAGCCTGGCAAATACATAGTGTAATGAAAGATATATTATTTGGAAATAACAGTTATATTCTTTAATTACTTACCTAAGGCGTAGTTAAATTTTAACGTTTGTATAGTACGTCTGATCGATGCTATTTTATTCTTAAGACCTTAAAAAACTTTCTCTAAATAGAATGGCATTAATAAATTTTTTGTGATTCTATAACAATGAGAATTTATTTATTAGAATTATTGTATTGAAGGTTCTATTCTACTTTCAAAACTATTACAAAAGAAGAAACTTGTAGAAATATTTTCCATTAATAATAATGTTAAATATTTTATATCTTAGTTAAATATGCCCGTAAAAGTATAAAATCCATTATTCCACTAAAAAATTCATAGTTATTAAAAACTAATAAAAATATATTAGGTAAATTATTGCAATAGACTCAAGTACAAAAAGTTTATATAATATTGGATAAACTTTTATTTGTGAGAAAATTTTAAATTGATGGGTTTATGTTATGAGCAGTTTATCCATAAAAATTAATTTTATTTAAGAAAAATAAATAAAATAATAATAGCTGGGTAAAAGTTGTATTTTTTTTATGTTATAAATAGACATATATAAAAGTAAAAGTAATAAAACACCAATGTTTTTCAAAATTATACATACTAACATAATATATAATTATTCATAGAAGACAAATATCAATATTTGTCTTATCTAGATAAGAACGATACTTATTTACATGTAATATTTGTTTAGTTATACAAGTAAACTATATCCGGATTAGTTGAAACCCAGAAAAATATGTATTAAATGGAAATAGGTTGGTTTCAATATTAGAATAAATGTATTAATATTAAAATAAAAACCACACTTTAAGACCTAATATTGATGTGTTCATCATTCAACATAAAGCAATTAAAAAAATTTTCGTTCTTAAAATTTGTCTAGTTTTAGAGAATTAATTTATAGAAATAATAAAAAATATTTGTTCTTAAAATTTGTCTAGTTTTAGAGAATTTATAGAAATAATAAAAAATATTCAAAAATAAAAGAATCTTTTAATAAAATCGTATATATTTATAAATTGTACTGCTATGATTGTAAATGTATATTTCATTAAAAGATATAACGTTAATCAATAAAAATTTGATGTAGAAAGTACTAGAGGCCAAGGTTATTTATATAATACTAGTAGAAAACTTAATGAATGAGTGTTCGCTTACATATTACAGTATTAAAAGATCAACAAGAATGAGTATTTATTCGTTAACCCGTTTGCTCCATAGTTATATCTAATTATTCTATTTAAAATATATGACATTCCTGGTTGTTCATCTCATAATATTAACTGATAATATTATTTATAATGTGTTTTCTATTTTTTATACGTTTAATCTTTTAAAAATTTAAAATTTTTTCGATATTTTAAATTGTATTTAATTATTTAGCGTAATTTTACTGAAAATATTTTTACAACTATTGATTAAATTTTGAAAAAGTTAATTTAATTAAAAAAGCATATTACATCCACTTATTTATTTAATTCTTAAAATTTAAAAGTAACTGTAAAAAATTTAATCTAAACAATAAGATCTAACCTTAAACTATTACAAATTCTTAGTATGCGTTTATGTGAAAGGTAATAAAAATGAAAGTTAATTGTTTTAGAGATTTCTTTATAAGTGACAATAAATAAAATATAATTAACTAGGTAATGTAAATTTAAGTGTATTTAGCTATAAAATATTATGACGCAATTATTAATAACTGATTTTAATGGAAAACTAAATAATCCGAAGAATGATCCTTTGGAAGAAGCTAATTAGCTTTCTTCCATATAAGTTTATTTATTTTAAAAGAATGTGAAACAATTTTCTTTAGAAACCCATTGTTGTTTTTTTTTTATTGATAACTAACAAAATAAAACTTTAATAATTTATATTGTTTAGTTGTTTATTCTATTATTTTTTTGGCAAACACATAAATTTAAAATATGAAATTTACTTTCTAATATTTAATCGTCATTTTTGTACTGGTAAAATATCATGTAAATACATTTAATTACATACACGAATAATTTAACTTACATAGCTATGGTCAGTATACGTTGTTTGCAAAAACTATTACTAAACAGATTCATGTTTTCACCCAAAGAAAATTAACCTACATCATACACAAATAAGATCATGAATATAATGATATTTAATTGTAATACATCGTAGGTAGTCATATAAGTAGTATATTGTTCATGTAACATGACAAACCTTGAAAGTAGAAACCTTGTAATCATAATAGCTGAAGATGTAACACCCTACTACTATTTTTTAATACTTTTCCCTTTCGTAAAACGTAGTACAGTATTTCATTTTAACATATTTTGTTCTCAGTCTAAAAACAATACTTTGCGTTTCATATCTTTGTTTATACTGAATTATTTTCAACTAATTTATTTAATAATATTGCAGAAATGCCGACCTATGAAGAAAACTTCTTTAATTACAAGCCAGCAAAGTTACCTGAAAGCCTAGCACATCTACCAGAGCGTGTAGGTGAAACTTTTGCAAATAAAACGTTGTTCATTACTGGCGGATCAGGTTTTTTAGGAAAAGTTCTTATTGAGAAGATTTTACGAAAATCTCCAGATGTTAAAAGAATATATATACTTTTGCGACCTAAGAAGGGAAATAATCCTAAACAAAGAATCGAAGCTCTATTTTCTTCTGTGGTAAGTTTTATAATAATTTATTATATTATTAGTCATAACTAGGGCCCTCACATAGGGTTAGATGGGCTCCATAGTGCTAAAGTCCAGCATTTAAAGAGGTTAAAATTATGTTTTTTGTCATTATTAATCATTGAAAAAATTTTAAATTCCGTTTTAATGGCTGGTACGGTACACCATAATTTTAAATTAAAAGCTTAGGAGGTTATATGAAAAACATTGTTTCGAAATATGCTTATCTGCTGATTTTTTAATAAGGATTAATGTTATTTATTTTTAATATGTTAGCCATATGTAATTATGTAGTTTTTGAAGTTTAACTTAATTATTTATTTAATAAATAAAATAAATTTCTACGTACAATTTGTTTTTCAGTTAATAATGTTTTTCATTTAAGTCCTACGTTTTTTAAATCTACCCATTGAAATGTTAAAAAAAATATTAGTTGTTACCTTAAATTATAATTTTTGAATGTTAAATACAGAAGTATTGGTAATTTTAAAGAATGATATGTTTTATAAATTATTTTTTGTATGCTCGTTATACTGAAGAGGTATTTTTATATTAAACATAGCATAACATGTTTATAGAAAATTATTTTTTATTGCAGTAAATAGTATTTAAAAAACTAAAACTATATTAAAAATATTTAACTCAAAAACCCACACAAAAAATTACTAAAAAAACGCGGAATAAATATTTAATTTACATTATTATTCAACATTTTTACTAATGAAACATTCGTTTTTTAATTATTACTTTAACATAACTTCTTTTACTTTAAAAAAAAAAGTAAACAATTTAAATGTATTTCTAAAGTAGTACTTTTTTTTTTAATTTAAATTTTTAGTAAAAATTATAACGAATACTCTAGGATTGGAGGAATATAATAAAAAGTAAATTAATACAGTTAAATGGGCTAACTTGGGGCGGTGATTAAACTTGGGTTGAATATCAATTATCATTTTAGTTATAGTAATCTACAGCACTAGTAAAATATTTTCAAGTATTGTTAAAATGTTTATATACAAAAATTGAGTGATGAAATCTGTAAAATATTGCACTACCTCGTTTGATGGTACATATTAAAAATACAGGTAGTAGTTGCTTTCTCTGATTTTCTTTAGTACCAGTTTATATAATGATTTTATCAAACTTTATGAAATAATGAATAAGAATTGAATAACGTAGGTTAAAACATCTATGGAAATCTATCAAGCCTAGTCTGTGTTTGGTCATTTTCAGTAAACTAATTTCTTTTTATTTGTTTTAGATAAAAATAATTAATAGTATTTAAATTACTATAAAATAACGAATGACTGTTTTTCACGAAAAAATGTTTTGAATATTTTTTCGAAGTACATAAACACATTTATTACGAAATATGAATTTTCATAATTATATTTAAAATAATTAAAAATATGTATAGGTTACGTATAAAACATAATATATTATATATTTTTTAGGAGTTTAATAATTATTTAATTTTTACTATTGTATTAAGTACAATATTAAATATGCAATAAAAAATTTAGCTTTTATTTATTTTAAATATGATTTTTTAAGTGATAAACATTTGAATAGAAGGCGTTTTAGATATGAAATACCGCTTTTATCGTATCGGATAAAAGCAGAGATAAACATAAATTTGATCCATATTTTGATACTTTATATCAAAGTATGGATTAAATTTTCGAAAACAGTGTTTAAAAAAAACGATGGAGTATTAATAATTTATTAAATTAATTTTTGTGATTTAAAAGTCAACCACATTTATTGTGAAATATTTTGTTGCTAACTTTCTTATTAGGTAGGTACCAGAAATAGGTTCCATTAGGTTGATTTATTAGCAAACGTCAAGTTTTAAAAATAAAAAGTTTTGTAGGAAACCATAAATTTTANTAGTTAAAGACGTTGAATACGTAACTTATTGTAATAATCGAAAGTATCTGATTATGACCAAATGAAAAATAAAGAATAAAATATTTTATAAGTTTTAAAAATAAAAAGTTTTGTAGGAAACCATAAATTTTACATTTATTAATCAAAGATTTGAGAAACAACAAAGTTCCAACAAAAATAATTTAAAGAAAATAAGAAAAAATTGTTTTACATTATTAAAAATAACGTTTAGAATGTAAATTGTAAATTAAATTTTTATGGCTCCAGTAGCGCATTTGAAAATTTGGAATATAATCAGTATAGAATACATATTATACACAAAGAACTAAATAGTACAAGTAATATTTTTTATTATGAACCACAAGATACATTTATTTATATATTGATCACAAATTAATTTTTCAAAATTTTGCCACATAAAAAAACTGGTTTAGTTAAATAAAAAACGTCGAAACTATAATAAAGAAACAATTTTGAAATGAAAAATTACATCGAAAATTTTAAGTTTGATTGCTTGAAAAACAGACATAATTTTAAGTACGACAAAGACGTTGTGCGGCCATCTAAACAAGCACTTTAATTTTTCTAATATTTTTTTTATAGTTGTATGATTACTTAAAAGAATTGCATGGTGCAGATATCATAAAAAAGATTTTTCCTATAGCTGGAGATGTTTTGGAACCAGAATTAGGCATAAATAAAGAAGATCGAAAGATACTCACCGACGAAGTAGACATAGTTTTCCACGCCGCTGCTACCATTCGTTTTGATGAGCCTTTAAAAAAAGCTGTTCTATTGAATACCAGAGGAACTAAATTTATGCTAGCGTTGGCAAGAGAAATGAAAAATTTAAAGGTAATCGAAATTTTACTTTTTAAATTTTGAATTACTTAAGTATNAGGTAATCGAAATTTTACTTTTTAAATTTTGAATTACTTATGTATTAGTATGTTTTCGTCAATTTTTAGTTATTTGCATACATTTCGACAGCGTACTGTCATCTGGACGAAAAAGTGTTGTACGAAAAACCATACCCTCCACCAGCAGATCCAAACAAAGTTATTCAAAGCATGGAATTGTTAGATGAATCTTTTGTTGAAACTATTTCCAAAGAGTTAGTTATCTATTAGATCTTATTCGTGTCTTGTAGTTTTTATCAATTTATTTATTTGTATTTAGAGTTCTTGGAACCTTTCCTAACTCTTACGCATTCACAAAATGTCTTTCTGAACACTTAGTGTCTGAAGAAAGAAAAACTGGAATGCCAGTTGTAATAACTCGTCCATCAATTGGTTAGTATGCTGTAAAAGATAACTCATCTATCACTTCCAAATTTTTCTAAATTCATTTTAAATAAATCAAACATGTTAATGTCTTTTAGTTATTCCTGTTTGGAAAGAGCCTTTGCCCGGTTGGACAGATAATATAAATGGTCCTGCGGGTTTACTTATTGGCGCCGGTAAAGGAGTCATTCGGACAATGTATTGTGATAACAAAGGTTACGCTGATTTCTTGCCAGTCGACATAACTGTTAATGGTCTTCTTTTATTTATTTGGAATTACTTGGAAAATAAGTAAATAAAAACTAATTTTCTTAATGAGAGTTTTCGGTGATAAACAAAACATACTAAAAACACTCCAAAATAATTAAAATATTTTTATCACTTATCACAATTTGTTTTTAAAGCTTATTGTATTTTTGAATATAGTGACAAAGACAGATGGATTGGGCATTTGACATCAAGTCAAGAATGGCAAATTACATGGCAAGAAATTATCGACATTGGTAAAGATATAGTAACTCATGAGGTACCGTTGAATGGTTGTGTATGGTATCCTGGAGGCAGTATGAAGTCTAGTAAGCTTCATCACGATATTTGTGCGTTCTTTTTACATACTATTCCAGCTTACTTTTTGGATGCAATAATATATTTGTCTGGAAACAAACCATGGTAATAATAATTAATAGTATTATTAATTAAGTCTATTCAATAAAAATAGATTTAATTCGCGATCGTGTACACACAAAAGACAACTTGTTTTTTGAAATGATTATTCATGTTAAGTTTAAAAACTTTTTTTCAACTTGGATTTGTAGCCTTGTTCGTATACAAGATAGAATTAACAAAGGATTTGAAGTGTTTGGATATTATGCAAATAATCAATGGGAATTTAGAAATGAACATGTTCACCACTTGAGAAAAATTATGAATGCTCGAGAAAAGTTTGAATACAAAATAGATGGAGCTGACATGAATATTAGAAATTATTTTAGAGACTGTATTATGGCTTCTCGTATTTACATATTAAAGGAAATGCCTGATACTTTACCGGGTGCAAGAAGACATATGAAAATGTATGTAATATAAAATACTCGTATACTTTTTATGTATAAACTGAAGTTTAAAATGTAAAATTAGGTAGAAAGATGGTTAAATTAAACTTTTTCTATTTACAATTACATTTTGGGCTATAAAATTTTAACATAATAATTATACTATAATTCATTAATTTATTTTGTTATAGAATGTATTGTGTCGATATAATAGCCAAAATATTGTTCTTCGGTCTTCTATTGTGGACCTTATTCAAGTGGTCTGATTTCATTTTAGCAATCGGTATATTTTTACTAAGTCTAATACAAATGTTTTTTGATACAACACGATCGATGTTTATTCAAAGTTCTACTGTCGAACCAATTATGAATAATGAGCTTTAGTCTTAAATCTTAATATAGTGCTATTTTGTTTTAATTTTTTTTGTACCAATATTAATTGTTACAGTTACTTAAACACATTTTTACATTTTTTACTGATTAAATTCAATTTCAAATACATTAATTAATTATTATTTTTTAATAATAATTTTGTTTGTTAAATAAAGACTTCCTTAAGGATAATTTTATATGCTGTTTAAATAGTTAAAATATAGTAAAATTAGATTAATACTTAATATTATATTTTTTATTGTAAAATATGATACTATTAAAAACTATTTTACTAATAACCTCCAATTATAGTTTTATAAATATAGTTACTTTAAGAATTTTTTTTATCGTTTATCATTTTTATCGTTGTATTATTCTATTTAAATTCAAATTAATTGACTTACATGACTTATTAATTTTTAACCTTGTAACCTAAGATGTGATTTAAATTGAGTTACTGAGTAAGTTTGGAGTTTCTTTTGGGTTTGTTGTGCTATTGACATAATCAAAGAATAAATAAATCAATATATTTTATAATTTATAAAAAATTGTGATTGTATAAATGTTTTTAATAAAAATCAAAATTTATATTGCAGTCAATGAAATAAAATATTTTATCATTTTAATAACAAAAATTGTTGTTAAATTCCAATATTGACAACGAGCAAAGTATTGAATCAGTACTGGCAACTAACCATTGGTCAACCCGTACTAACTTAGTACTGGTTGGTGTCTTGTCTAAGTACTGATATAGGATTGGTGGTTAGTACCTGGCTGATATTGCTAACATAGTACTAGCATAATACTGGTTATACAAAATCTCCAGTATTGACCTGTTAATACTGGAGAAACGTTATCATTCCAGATGTATGCAAGTATTGGTCTAGTGCTGCGTTAGAACTACCGGTACTGTGCCTGTTGTGTAATTTCTGATTGGGGCTGTATTATGAGATAACAACTGCCAACGTACAGTGCTCGTGCTCAGTGCACACACACCAATACCAATAGAGTAACCAACTGGGCTACATACCCATTTATCATTATGATATTTAGAGAATAAAAAAAAATTGTTTGCTATTTTATTTATTATCATGTAAAAAGAAGTTGTTCCCATATAAGAAAATTAAGGATTTTTGTAATGTAAAGAATAAACAAATAAATTTTTGACTAAATGTAATTGTAGATTTTTTTGAACCAAATATTTTTTCTCTTTACAGAAATTCTCAAGTTCATGAGAAACTAAGGGATTAAAATTAAGTCATTTATCAATTACTCTATTTGTAAATAATAATAACTAGAAAAATAAGTAAATATAGTGCATACATTATCATTTGATTTAATACATTAGATTGTGGCAAAATGCTATAATAATTTTTTTTATTATAAACTTGTAAATGGTTTTTAAATTAATTTTTTTAAGAATAATATAAAAAGGTTAACCATAATGTTAGCACAAAAATAGTTACAACGCAAAAGTTTAATGTACATTTTCATAATTTATTGCATTTACAATTGTTATAAATGTGTCATAAAAAACATGCATAGCCTATTATTATAATGATAAATTTAAGAAGTAAATGTAATGGGGTTTTAACTACGTGAAAATAATTAAATATACTTACTAAAATATTATGCCATTTTTTTAGAAATATAAATTTTTAAAAGAAAATTATACCTTTTAGATTAATATTTTAACTGTTCTTATAAGCTATTGAATAAAATGTGTTCTTATAAAAATGTTTGTGTAAATGACAGTTAATACAATAAATCTTTTAAAATTAATGAAACAAATCATTATAATCCAAATTCAATATGTATATTATTCTTTTAGAAAATTTGTTTTTTTTTAAATGTAGATAATATTAATTTAATGTTATACGATTTTTGGTAATCAAAAAAAATGTATAATCATTGTTGGGAATTGATAACCATAAATTCAACTACTTGTGATAGATATTTGAGATGAAATAATCTAGGTGAAAGATAAATTTATTTATTTATTTTTATATATAGGGTGATTGAAATCTGGTAAGACATTCATTTTCTCAGAAAATATTGAGAATATTAAATTTTATTATAGAGAAAAAATATCAAGTTCAAAAAACTCTACAACAATATGAAGTCAAACCATTTTTTTTTGACCCTTCAAGGATAAAAACCCTTATTTATAATTTTCTTAAATGGAAACCCTTATTTTTAACTTTATAATATGATAGAAAAAAAAAAATTACAAACAATTTTGTTCTTCTAATTTTTTTTATCTGATTAATTAACCGTTCGTTCGTTACAGCTTGTTAAAGTTAAGTGATTTTAGGCCAAATTTCTATTGTCATTTTACTGTATTAATACAGAAGTCATTATTTTTTTTTATGTGCTGTTGCATAAGCCAAATTTTATTGATCAAGTTATGACAGGTAAATTAGCTATAAAAGTGTATTACGCACTAAATGAGTGAAAACAATAATAGATTCAAACCGGGTTTTTGGAGTATTATTAATAGCTAAGTCTATGGTTTTGTAAGACTAAAGGATTTAACAAAAATGACGGTTGAATTGCCACCGATATTATTAAACGTAATAAATAACAATATTTTTTCTGGAAGTCAAAATCATTAAACAATTATAAAACGTAAATGGTTGTTCGGATAAAAAGAATTATAAAAACAAAATTGTTTGTCATTTTTTTTTCTATCATATTATTAAATCAAAAATAGTGGTTCCCATTTAAAAATATTATAAATGAACATTTTTATCCCTGAAGGGATAAAAAAAAAATTTATTTAATTTCATATTATTGTAGAGTTTTATAAACTTAATAATTTTTCTTTTTACAAAAATTTTAAATAATCAATAGTTTCTGAGAAAATAAGTGTCTTACCAGATTTCGATCACTCTGTAGAAAAATGCTGATAACTTCATTTTTATTACTTTATTTTTTCGTTAAATATATGTATATGTACATATATGTATATTCGATTAAAATTGAATGTCGCTTAACATTACCTCATTTTTTACCTATTGTAAATCTAAATTCTAATATCTTAAAATATAATTCCGCGAAACTGGTTATCTACTAGTGAAATTCATTATATTATATTATTATTATATAATAATTATGCTAAAATTTGCATAACATTGAAACATGCCCATTAGTTAAAACTAAATCAAATTTAAGGTTTTTAAGTACTATACAAACGAAAAAAAAAACGTTTCGACTACTTGTCTTCAATGAATAATCGGTCTCTCTTTTTAAAAATCATGTAATTTTTTAAAAAATTTTTAAAAATTTTGTTTCGAATATGCATTGAATTGGCAGTTATTGACAGTCAAATATCAATTAATGTTAATCTAAAAAAATGCATCAACTCCACTATACTAGGCTCTCATTGTAAATTTAACATTTTAAATTTACATTATGTTATTTTAGTTCGTAATGATGTAATGTCAATGTTATTGTTCAGTGTTATCATAAAAGTACACTGCTTATTTGTAGGGACTTCTCAACAGCCTGATAAAATAAAATGAAAAACATCCGTTATCTTATCTTGTATTATTAGCAAAACAATTATTTATAACTAATTATAAATATCATAAACATAATAATCCTGCTTTTATGATTTGAATTTGTGCATATAATTGGTTATTATACAAAAAAGACTATTATATATTTTTATTTATAAATTTACTCAAAAATTAAAAGAATATTAATTAAATTATACACGTGTGAGTATATTACCACAAGATATTTGTAGGTTATGGTGTCATCATAATGCGTTAAAAAGTATGAAATGTAATAAAATAATTTTTGCCAAACATCGTTAAATTCTAAGTACTGCTGAATATTTCATTATTCATAGATGAATAAAATATTTGTAATCTGGATAACAATGAATCCATCTTAGATGTCGTTTTTGATAACAATTTATAGAGCCAGGCTAGCTAAGATAAAAGATGCTAAGATATAATATGTAAATAATGTTATTTTTTTCTGGATGATTATTTGGGTTTTCCCGACATTGTCTTTAATAGATACACTATTAAAAATATTAATCTATTGTAGTAAATATATAATATTAGCATTGTACAAGCTTTCTTTAATGTTTGATTTTTATGGCTTATTAAAAATTAAAAACCCTTTATGATTTTTAATTTGGGTTTGGTTAATTCATTTAAAGCAAAATTTTTTTTTTTAACACGCTTTTATTAGTTTCACATGTATGTTGTATATTGTTTGTATGTAAGTTTGTAACTCTCCAAACGCCACGCGTTATCGCATATTCCGTTGTCTAGACTAGACTGTTATACGCATTCACCCCTCCCCACGCCTCGCTCACAATACGACGGTACACTATTCCTATAAAAATTTATTTTTAGTTATCGTACCCGTACACGCGTGCTTGTCATCAATATTATATATATGTAAACAAATTTTTATTTTGACTGACCAATAACGCCCGCGTCTAATGCGCCTTACGTATATATATATATATTCCTACCGCCGTTTATACCTCGGGTATAACGTTAGTCCGACCCGCCCGGCCATAAAACACAGCTATACTTAGTGCATGATACTTTTACGTAGTTAAGTCGCATTATTTGTATAAATATATATATTCTAATTACTATTAAAATTAATATATTAACACGATTTATTCTAATTAAGAGATATAAAGTATTCATTCCGATTACGAGGGATGATTTCCGTATCGTCATTTTTCGTCACTACCTCCACGTTCCGGGAGTGAGTAATTTACGCGCCTGCTGCTTTCCTTGGATGTGGTAGCCGTTTCTCAGACTCCCTCCCCAGAATCGAACCCTGATTTCCCGTTACCCGTAACAACCATGATATTGATAGTAACTACTATCATAACATGAAACTAAAAAGTAAAAAATAAATATAGTTTAAAAAACTAAAAAAACACGCTTTTAAAGTACATCGAACTAAAAAGTTAAAAATAATTTTTAAAATAATTATGAACAAAAAATACTAGTATTATTGTGATAAAAGCGTGGGTGCTTTGTGCCATATTTTTCGTATATTGAGCGCCCGACGCTTTTATCACAATAATACTAGTATTTTTTGTTCATAATTATTTTAAAAATTATTTTTAACTTTTTAGTTCGATGTACTTTAAAAGCGTGTTTTTTTAGTTTTTTAAACTATATTTATTTTTAAATCTTAACGTTATATCTGTAAAAAGTAAAAATCAAATCTAGTAAATGTGAGTTTGATTATTTAAATTGATTATTCCTTTAAAACAAAATAAGTGCGTTTTACCATCGATTCATTGCATTACGTACACACAATTTCATTTAATTTGTATGTACCAGATTATAAGCATTTTCAAGATTTTTTACGAGGAATACAAAATAATTTTAATTTGTTGAGAATTTTGAAAAATGCATAAAAGTAAATTCTTAAGTATTGATTATTTTATTTATTATCTTTCTAAGTAATACTATATTGACATCATTCTATTTTGTATAAAATTATACTTCTATTAGGTAACCTAATAGTTAAAGGTCAATATACTCTTGATATTTACCATGCAATACGATAACACTTTTATAATAAATAATGCAACTAAAGGACATA